GACGACTGTTAGAATCCATTCGCTCAAGATGCAAAATTGTATTCCGCAGCAATCGCTTTTACTAGCAATTACTTATACAGCGGACAGCCATAATACTAAGAGAAGGTACAGTTATTATTAATGATTCGTGGAGTCAGTTCGAATGGAACTGGTTTTTTTAAAACTGTTTGTAATTTACAGCCATAGCGAAACCTATCCTGAATTTAAATGCTAACGGTAAGTTGACAAGTAAGTCGGGGTTCGAGTTTGGCCGAGGCCAGTTCGGCTGGATTCGAAGTTGGTTCGTTAGGTTTCGTTGGTTACACATCTGTCATCGCTGAGTAAACAAATTGCCACCGTACCTTTCACTTTAATCCTATTACACGAGCAGACGAGAGAACAATAAATTGGCCTTTCTTTTCCTACCCCTGTTCATTTTTGGTTATTCTAGGGGATTTGGATTAACTTATTAACTTATTAACCGACGCGTACGCTAACGTAAGCGGACACGGGGCAGGTATAGGATACAGTAGTTCGTTACATACGATTGGACCGTTGGTCACAGCAGCATTTTTGGTGTATATAGACGAGATATAGACGGGAAAACTGAACAAATCAAGCCAGCACATAACAGAACAGATAAGTAACAGTTTAAACAGTTTCTAACGGCTAAAAAACACCAATATAACGGAGTCTAACGGCTAAAAAACCACCAATTTTTGCCCTAGCGCCCTTGTATGAACGTACCTTTCCTTTTTGGTTCTTTACTTGTAAACTCAGTGCATACTGCCTTCCCATACCCAACTGCGTTTCGTGCATACACCTTCACATCATATGTTGTATTCTCATTAAGATCATTGGTTAAGCAATATGTATTTTCGGTTATAACCTCTCTCGGTGGAATTGTGTTGATTTGCACTTTGTACTCTATGACAGGGCTCCCTCCATCATCAACGGGACTGTCCCACTTGATCACTGCAGAAGTTGCTTTGATGTCTGAAACGAAGATATTCGCTGGTTCTACAGGGTCTATTGAAGAAAAAAGTAGCGATGATAAACAAAGATGAATAATAGCAGAAAGAGTAATAATGATAATTTGTTGATGGTAATATCAGCGGTGATGGTCAGAGTCGATAGGATGGGCCCGTCTGTCATCCAGTCGACTTTATTATATCACGTTTTCGTCACTACCCTTTTTTTCTGAAGGATAGCTACATAGTTTAATACAATATTATGCAAAGTCATCAATGAAAATGAAGTTATTTACATTTTACTGAGATTACGGTCGTCGTTGTAACTGGATCCTCGTTTGGATTATTCGTAGCCTGACACTCGTATGTTCCAAGTTGGTGTCTCGTGATGTTGGTGAATCTGAGAAATGCTTCACCAACTCGACCACTGATAAATTTTGGATTCTTTATAATTCGTACCCACGTTACGTTGGGCATAGGATCTGCWGCTGCTGAACATCGGATGCACAGACTTGATCCCTCATTGATAGGCGTCAATATATTGACAGGAGTAGTAAAGCGAGGACGTTCTGGATACAACAAATTAATTAATCATTAGCTGAGAGCTATTAAAATATTAGTCTAGTATTAGCGGTCCAATTAATTAGTGGATATATTCATTATAAAATTTCAAGCACCCTTAAGTATATGCCATTTGGTATGGAATGCATTCAGTTAGTATACCGATATAGGTCTTAATGGTTTGTCAGCTATTTGTTTAGCGTTTAACGTTTTGGTGTAAACCAAAAGATGTGTACCTTACCCGTAACAACCAGTTTTGCTTTACTTCTTATTGGTGATCCCGCTAAAAACAACATACTACATTCATATAGCCATTCATCAGCTTTGGTGACATTAGAGATGACAAGAGTAGCAGTGGACTCTTTACTGACGCGACCTCGCAGTTTTGGGGGACATTGTTTGCTTATAACGAACTTCCGTCCATTGTAACCATCCTCGACGCCTATAACTATTCTTCCTCCAGTTGTATTATACAGAGCCCACTCTGGTGAATATGGATCAAACTTTGCAGTTCTATTTCTGTTATCGTAAGTCTCGCTGTACCTCCAACGGACACGTAGAGATTACTTGGAGGTTCTCGAGTGAACCATTAAATACCTGTTGAATATCGTGTATTCATATAATCCGCATGAAACAAATAAAATTAGCCAAATTTAAACAGAACGACCTAAATTGCGTAGGATTACCTTTTGAAAGAGTTACTAATGAAATCAGAAATGCAATAGCTTCGACGTAAAAATACCTCATACTTTATTTCCAATCGTACACAGTGAATCGCACTGCAAAGTTATGGTTTTTCACAAGCCGGTTTGTAATTATAACGACGTTTTCATAGGGAGAGGTCATTTTCTTTTTATATTTCCTCAGTCAACACTAGAAATGAAAACCAAAAATGGTGTAAAAATAAAAAAAAAAAAGGTAGAAAGTAAGAAGAAAAGAAATCCTCATCTACTTTCGAATCTAACCGAGTTGTTCCCGGCCTAATCAGAAATAGACGAAAATGTTTTATTTGTCAATTTATATTATAGATTGGATATTGATGCATATTACTAAGTTGATGTAATGTATTCAGAAAATATATATAATGCATTCTTTTGTATATTTATTTTATGAATGACTTAGAATGACTCTTTCAAATGTAAATTGTATTATAAAATATTTGAACGCGCGCGATGATTAGCTTGACACCGTGTTTATATCAAAGGAAAGTAACACGCTCCCGCACATATTTTACAAAAGCTATACAAAACCTATTGTTATGTCTCTGTACTGTGAAAAGCAAGAGAAACGCTCAGCTACGCCTTGCGTTCCTAAGCTTCCTTCTCTCTCGCTCAACCTCATGAGCTCCCAGCTTTTCATATCAACGGAACGAGGTATGCGCGTGCGTTTTTTATTTCCACGTTGCTTTGCTTATGGTTTCATTTTTCATTTCGGATTCGGATTTGTACTTTGGTTTATTTCTTATCTTTTAATATTTCTATATTTTTTAACATTTTTAACAATCTGAAAAGAGCTTTTAAAAAGAATTGTGGTAGTTTTGGTTTGAAACTACATGAGGGGTCTATTGCAACATCCACCCAGGTTTAATGTATAGGTTAATATATATCAAGTGCTCTAAACATGTTTTTTGTATCCATTACCTCAAAGCACGCATAACAAAGTTTTAATTACTNAAAAAACATTGTAAATAAATTGAATTGAATTGAGGTCGAACATATCAAATATTTCTTTAGTTTCCTTCATGATTTCTCAAATTACTTTAAAATTTTCAAATTAATCTTTATAAGTATACCGTTGTGTGCTTTGTTATTTGTTGCTAAATACACCTTGTATTACCCAGAGCTCCTCGTTTTTTGTCGTTCCTTTCGGAGAAACGAATCGGTGGAGCTCTGGTTGCGAGAATAAATCTTTATCCAATCAGTGCTGAGCATTATGATTAATTTATCCGAAGATAAAAGACTATTATTATAAGCATATATAGTGGCATATATTTTCTAAATTCAGCTTCTACTAGTAGTTACTCTTTAAACTACCTTCTGTATAACGCTTTCGTCTTTATATCTGATCCAGTTTGACGAGTCATCCGAGTAATTTATCTTGTAACTTTTCACCCACTCATTTTTTTCTTTGTGTTGCACGCTATCTGGATCACCACCATTTCCTTGTGTTGCTACAGCAGTAATAACACGTGGAGTACCGAGGTCAATCTGTAGGTAATCACCAGGATTTTCATTATCTTTTGGTGCCCACCCATATTTACCATGCAGCTTGGCGTTATGGGCTGCGTATCGATAGTCAAAATGCGATGGGGCATCATAACTGCTGTCAGGTATACTCAGATTGTTTCTCCCTACAAGAGAATGTTCTACACAACCTAAAACGGTATCACCATGAAGCATTAAATTGTACATAATTGTATTTTACCTATTATGTTACATTTTCTAACTTTACTATATTACTTACTAATATTTAATAATAAATATAGAGTGATTTTACTTAACCCGGCCGCGCAACAATTACTTAATTTTCCTTTTTTCTCTTTTCTTTTCTGTTTCCCCGCGTAAAACAATGAAATAGACACGGCTAAAGACTATGGAAACATGATCTACTTGCTTTGGTTAGTGTACCAGATATTTTACGGGAACCAAAACCCTCTAGATTCTCACGTTTAACACTGAAGAATGACTGCCGACAATCTAATGTATTGTATTTTATTGATAATTAGTTTTAAATCCAA